CCGAACGTCTTCTCAAGATATAATTCATATTCCGATTGCTTGAGGCCACTTTTGTTGGGAATCTTATTCGTTTGCATGAAAGTGCTTTGTGAATGCAACCATCTTCAAACGAATCGAATCTTTGAGAGAATAAGAAAATTTATTTTTGTAATATCTTCCCCAAATTCTTCAATTTTGGCATTTGATAGGCTGAATCATCGCGGGAGAAAGAATTGATTCTGTAGTGAGGGAAACAATCGCACTGGAAGACTCGAAAAAAAAAAAAAATTAGAGAGAGCCTAAAAAAACGAATTAAAAGTACCGCGGGTAAAAACGTGCTTTTAACCGCAGATAAGCAAGAAAGGTCTTCCTAATAAGGGACACACTCACGACGGTTTGATGGGGGATTTTCACCAGCTTACTCTCGTATAATAGTCTTGTTTGAGGCATTTTCGGCTGAAATGAAGTTGGGGTTTTTCTTTTTTTTCTTTCCAGAAGGATTATTCCCTGTGTGAGTGGACGGTTTGATGGGGGATTTTCACCAGCTTACTCTCGTATAATAGTCTTGTTTGAGGCATTTTCGGCTGAAATGAAGTTGGGGTTTTTCTTTTTTTCTCCTGCCCTCGCGAGCGTCTTTCATCCGTCCTGCTCCTTTGAGGTGATTCCCGCCCTCCGGGGGATTACATTCAATACCATCGGGTACTTGAATTGAAAAACGGTTCTTTGTCGGGAAAGTTCCTGCCGAAATAATTCGAAATCATCCTCAGAATTCTTAATTTATAGCCCCCGGGGAAGGTTCCCAAAGGTTTGTGTTGTTGAAACGTGCTTGAGAGGATTATCTCATCGTCTTTAACGTGAGTACTTGTAGCTGTTATTCCTTGATGAATTCAATGTTTTGTGAAGTAAAATTGGCTGAGTTGAAAAATTTTCAGCTAATGTGGTTAGTTTTTCAGAAAAAAACAAATGAAGTTCAGCTGGGAAAAGACTGGTTGCATGCTGGTGGAGAAAATTCTGGGAATTTCAAGTTTAATGCCAAATTGAGTGAAGCAATATGAAATAAAAACAAGCAGAAACGCGCTCCTAAAATGTTTTAATCTAAGGAATGAGTTCATTTTCTAAAATTATGTGGTTACATAACCTTCAATATCTTCGAAAATTTGGCAGTTCTTTTTTTTGGTAAGTGTCATATATATATACAGTACTTTCATGGTAAATTAAGAATAAATGAAATGCTGGTGGAATACAATGAAATGACGTTGCTTGAAGGTTCAAGTCCATGTTTATTGGTGGTTAATGATTGAAAATCTTTCTTGAGTTCTACCAAACGGGCATGTTTTTAATTTTTCGAAATAAATCTTCAATGAATAATAATAATTTTCTCTGTATCATCCTGTTCACTCGGCAACACGATAATTTCAAAAGATCGTGTTGAATAATAATTTTTCAAATCTCTCTCCTCCCATTTTTTCAAGAAAAAAATTACACATCTTTCTCGCGAAGTGCTTGACACCAAATGAGAAGTGCATTACAGCTGGCCCAGCCTAAAAAATGGCTTTTTTGAAAAGCTTTTCCGAAAAAATTTCTTGGCGTGGAAAAACTTTGATGCATATTCTCGCATAACAAAATGTTTATCTAAAAAAACCGGAATTTCAAGAAATTTTGGGTTTAACGTTTTAAATTCATTTTTGAATAAACGTGAACATTTGAATAAAAGAAGTGAGAGGCGAAATCACTACATCTTCTAATTCTAAAAGTGTCCCAATTGCCGCAATTAATTCAAGTCTATATGTTGATTGCAATTCCTGGTACAATTTTTCATTTTTTTCTAATTTTCGGAAAATGCTGTGCTCGGATTTTCAAGTCAATTTTTGTGAGTGCCTGCCTCAGCATTAAGGATCACATGCGGTATTTCATGATTATGCCGTAAAGTAGTAGCATTTTCTGCGAAATGAATATATTTTTTCAAGGATTCTTCGAAGAATTGATGACTTTATATTTATGCGGCTACCCAGTGTAATTTTAAAGCATGAGAAATTGTCTTTGCTTGTTCAGATGGGCTATTTAAGGTTGGGTTCGTGCATATTTTTCTCATTCCTGCTGGGAAAGAGGTCCCTTCACCTTTATATTATATTTATATTATAAATTGTCTGGTATGTGTATGTGTCTGTTGCTGAGAATATCGGGTCCATGTCTCCCAGGAAGAATTTCATCTCCTGTCGGTTGGCTGGAAATTCCAGGGGATCAAACAGATCCCATCCCGTCCCCGAACCCGTTACGAGGGGGGTTCGGGGAATCAATTTCGGCTCTACTATCTCGCGCGTCTTCCCCCTGTGTTCAGTGAAAAAATGAATGAGGTTGCAACAGAGGGATATATATCCCCTGTTACAGGAAAAGTCATTCCGCCCCCCCCCCCCCCCCCCCCCCCCCCAGTAGAAAAGCAAGCAAGCAGCATCTTGACGCCATTTGTGCACTTGCGAGAAAACCCCCTCGAGGGGGGTTTTCCTTCCTTCCTTTATCCCCACCAAACTTACAAGGTGGCTCAGTATATTCCAGACTAGTTTTTGGAGAGGAAATACAAGGGAAATCTTGTTACAGTACATTGAATTCTCAAGGACTCTGAAAAAATACATTATTATTAAATTGTGTTTCTTTGTAAAAAAAAATGGAATTTTTGTCGGAATTTGGAAATTTCTTCATTCCCCTGAGGTTTCATTGGCCACCACAGAACCTGAACTTTAATAATAATAAATATCCAGTGACAAAATGATCTTTTAGGTTCTCCAACTTCTCATTGAGGTAATCTGTTATTGCTTTCTATTTTGACTAACATTCTTTTGCTTTTCTTTGAGCAATAAAATAATAATTCCGGGACTCTCTTGTCACAAACAGATGAACAAATTTATGAATGTTGTCCGTCAAAGTGAAAATATTGTTTTGGTTGATTGTGTAAAATATTCTGTGCCAACCTGTAGTAAATTGATTATGCCAATACTGCTTCAGTTTATTTGTGACTTTTCCCTATGTAAAAGGAATTTTTATTAATAGCAGCCCTATTTAACCATTCTCCAGCAATGATTTGATTAAATCTTGGATAAAATGCTAGGGAGAAGGTTTATTTCAAATGCTCCTTTTCAAAGTCATTTGGGTCTTTCCAACCTTTATATTTCAGTCTCTAAGGCCATACAAAATGTTGATTTAGTACTCTACACTTGAGTTGATGTCTGTCGTTTTTTTTCTGCGATGCGTGTATGGCATACTATTTCCTGGAGTAACGCACACGAATGAGAACCTAATTTTCGAAAATCCTATTGCTTCTTTATGTCGCGTAATTCCTGCGTAAAGCTTTTCACCGTATTGCAGTATTATTGTTATAGTGATCTGTAAATTTTATACTGTTTTCGTGGTAACGATCTTGTGATTCAATTTTCTCGAGGATGTGAGGGGGAAAAGGTATCTCAAACTTTTCTTGCCGTAGTCCCTTGTCTCATACAGTGAATATGCTATGCAGTTACTCAGCTCAATTTATTAATTGTTTGTAGTAATTTAGACTTGTAGTTGTGCTGATTTCTTCCCAGTGATTTGGAAAAGAAGGGACGGTTTATCTTTAAAAATCGGGTGGCTGCGTAATTTTCTACAATTTATTCGCGCATATCGACCAAAAATTATTTTCCTCGCGTGCATTTGTGGACCATTTATGTGGATATCCTTGCAAATAATGTATGACACATCATACTTATCCTGGTGAAATTTGCGGGTTTTCGAATGCTTTCACATTATTCAATACAGTAACGTATTTCTTGATCAGCCAATCTCAAGACCTATGATTTTAAGCTTCTCTCAGTAAAAGTAAGAAATTTCTGCGAATTTTACCGGGACTCACCGCGACGCATCAGAAACAATTTATTCGCTGAAACAAAATGATAATTGAAGGCAATGAAAAACTACCACAAAAAAGATTTCTCACCCCGAAATGGACATGCTGTGATCTTGTTGTCGCAAAACCTTTTTCGCATTTTATTTTCCTGTGTATTATTGCAAAAAATGTTCTAATGTATGCCAAAAATGACAAAGAAACCCAAACGTTGATGCAACTCTGTTGCTGCTTTTTTGGAAATACAATCTCCTTTCGGTTGCAATATTCTGCATTTCTCTTATCTGTAGTTCTTTAAATAATTTCAAATTGATGCATTTAGAAGGAATTTTAATTTTTTATTACATTTAATCAAGACTTCATATTTTTTAGATTCTGTGTGCTTTTTTTAAATTTGGTGCTATGTTTGCCTCAAACTTGATTGTTTGTCTGTTCTGTGAATTTCGTGTGTGACTAATTGTGTTACATTTGAAATATTTTATTCTTGGCTGGTGATGATATTTATTTCAATAAACAGGCATTTTTGAATTCAACATAGGCAACAAAGTAATGTTTTCTAACCTATATTTATATAGGTTAGAAAACAGAAGCGTGATTGATGTTATACAGTATTCCTATTGGGATTCGCTATACAACGAAAGTCTCTTTACAACGATTTTTCTGGTCCCCAGCGATTCATTGTAGAGATCGAGAGTCCACCTGCGTCAGGCACTGCGCGTAACCCTTGTATAGTTCGTCATGAAGAGATGCTTCAATTATCACACGTATAGGACAAATTAAAGAAAGAACATTTCCCTCGTCTTAAAATAACAGCAAAAATCTCATTGAAATTCTTCCCGGGAGCCGGAAACAGAGAAAGCCGAAGGAGGAGAACAATCGTGAAATATTAGCGAGGGGAACAGCGTGTGACACACACACACACACACGTACGAGAAGAGGTTAGAGACCGAGTTTCTTCATCTCGCGCGGCGCCGAAAGCCGCGTGAAGTTCTAAGCACTCCGGCGGGGGGAAAGAACGTCAATAGAATAATGCATGAAGCTCCAGATGTGTGTCTGTGTGTGAAGATGACCTCGTCCCACCAGGACCTAGTTTCATCTGTGAGCAAGAAGAATAAGCGTGGAGGAAACAAGAAGGAATATAAATAGATAGATGGGGGGGTCTGGAGAGGATCCCTGGGACGACGAGCTCGGGGGCATCACGTCCGGCAGCGGCGGTTGGGGGGGGGGAGGCGACGATGTTGGGAAACTTTTTTTTCTTGGGGGTTTCTTGGTGTGTAAAAGGAACATGAAAAAGGGGAAAAAGAGAATAGTATAGAGAAAAGCACGCAGATATCTTCAACTTTTCACTCATGATCGAATGACTGGGGTGTGAGAGAGGAACGAGAAAAGGACCCGTTTTTTTTTCAATGGAAAGTTGACCTAGGGATCTTTGTTGGCCTGGTTTTGCGTGTCAGCTTCGTCCCCTTTACATCTTTTTTTTTAAATAATCAAATATATATACGTTGGATGATAACTTTTGGAAACATCAGCAAATTCCAAACGAAATCAACAGCCGGCTACTGTATTTAAATATTTGAGGAAGTTACGCAGGTTTACATAGGCAAATTTTCGGATCTTCAAAAACATTGCGTGTAAACAGTATTTGGACGCCGAATAATTCTGAAAAAAAAATACTTTCGGGATTTTTCAGGACAAAATACAGCAATGTTGATTTTTCCAATTTATCGTCCTCTGATCGAATATGCATCAAATTACTATCATAGAAATGTTGAGTCACTTTGAAGTTTATAGAAAAATTACATAAACTTATTAAATTGAAAGAAAATATAATTTTCTGGAAAGTGAAACACATAATGAATTATGTACAATGCTTTAAATTTAAAATCTATGTTGAGGGAGGTACATCAACTTATTTTGGGCTCACAAAAAGAAAAAGTAAAAACGTGTGCACGTAAATTGCATGCATTGTGGCAATATTCATTTACGAAGCACTTTTCCTCGCCATTTCTTTATGCTTGGCAGCTTGGGTGACTAGAGTAATTTTTTTTTCCATGTTAAGATAATTTCATTAGACCCAGTGAGTTTTTCCTCATAGAAACATTTCGGATATCCAGCAAAAAATTATGTTGACGACACTTCAGAATTGAATGAGGTTATTCCTCAAATTTATTTCATGTAAATCCAAAAATGAAGTGTTTTTTTTTTACAGCGCAAGCAGTCGAATTTTATGAATAAATATCAAAGAATGGAGCTCAGAAATAACTCAATTGCATGGCTTACAAATTCGAATGATGATCCTGCCCATGCGCGTTTCTTGAGATAATAAGTTTATATTTTCTCCTGGAATTTGATGCGTTTTGTATAGGAGATCTTGATCGAATGAAGCGATGCTTTTATTTGACAATAAGGAAAAGTTTGTTAATTCACAAGTTTCTGCTGTTTTCTTCTCATTGTTGCAGTTGCAACCATCGAGGATCGGGAAGCCAGGAACCAGTGATTCTTCGGGTTGGAATTCCAGCTTGGACTCGGAGGAAGGCACACCAGCCGCAGTGATGCGGTCTTCCTTCGGGATCCGCTATGGGCCATTGCCGCCAGCCGGCGCCAAAGCCGGCGACTCTTCCGGGCCAGGCGACTATTCGTCGCTCAAGAATATGCATCATCATCACGGGGATGTGAGTCTTCTTCCTATTTGAATTCTTATACATCGTATTTCCTTGGCGCACTGTTAATTTGAAAGAAATGAGCCATGGATAAATTCTGAAATGAAGCACACAAAAATCGAAAGAAAAATGGCATACGGTATATTTTTGGCAGTAGTAAGTTTTCTTAACCCATGAGTGGCTAAGTTGGACTTGTTGTTTTTGCAAAATTTCTTAAAAGTGCTCCACAATGTGGTCATTTTCCCTTCATTATCTGCTGAAAGGTTACCAAAAAGCTGTGTTTTTCATGAACTTATTGTCATGCTGCACAATTCAGATTCTCCTGTTTTTCTGCTCAAATTATCAAATAACCCCTGTGGCCCAATCACATATAATCAGGGTAACAATTTCGAAATTCGTTATTATATACTGAACTAGGATTACTTGTGAAAATAAGGTAGTCAAAAGAAAATGTTCACAACAAATGAATTTGTAATAAAAAATTTTATTATTTAAATCCCAAGAAAATTAAACACCGTGACGATCAGTCATTTAACTGATCCTCCCCTAATTTTTACCTCTGAATAATAACGAATATTGGAGCTATATTTTTCTTTATCAAGCAGCGCTCAAAACCGCGATTGTCAAAGTTTTTAGAACACACTCGCTCAGTAGCAGAAAATAAAATGTATTCCTTCAATGCATAATCAATTAAACTTGTTTGCGTACAAATCATCATTATTGCAATAACAGGTGACGGGGATCCGCCGGACATGCTCGCGAGCAGCAGGTGGCGGCAGTGGCGCCGCAGGATCGTCAACAGCAGGAGATCCGGACGAGCGGCGTCCATCCAAACACGTCAGTTTCGATTCGTCGTCCTTGTTGCGGTCTCAAACCGTCGGCTCTCTGGACTCGCACGTGCTCACGACCGGCGGCGATGTGGCGGGTATGAAGAAGCAGAGCAACAGCAGGTCGACGGCCTGTGGTGTGGGGCCAGCAGGTGTCGCTCCCGGCGCTGCTGCGGCCGCCACTGCCGCCCGCCCGCTCAACTCCGCGCTGAAGGCGACGAGTCAGGAGAGGCTCATTGATGGGAAGAAGACGCTGGATCCCAGCTACGATGTTCTGCATCATATCAACCCCTGCACAAAGGCTCTGGTTAAAGGTGTGATCTCATTTTTTCTACATTTTGGTTGAATATACATTACTTGAATGTAATTTTCCACAATGTTTCTTCAGTCAAGCCTATTAGGCATATATGTGATTGTAATTTTAATTGGGAATGAATCATATTTTCGTGACGGATTTTATGCAATCCCAGAAGTTCGAGAAGTGCTAAACTCAGAAACTCTCTACCCTGTCAAAATTTCTGGGATTGAATTCGTGGCGGAAAATTGCGTAAAATTCCATGAAACCTCTGCCACGTGTAATTTGAAATATCATTCAAAAATTCGGATTCTCTTTAAATGTCTGCAGAAAAAATGAAGAAGTCGGCCATGAAGACACAGGCGACCCAGACGGAAGTGGAGGCGCTCGGAGGAGGAAAACCCGTCCCACCGCCGTATTTATCCCTCAGTCCCCGTTTGTCTCTGAAGGTTTGTGAAAATTGAGTCGGCATACATTTTGCCAAATTATTTTCCACCTTTTCTGGGGATACGGGAATTTTTCTGATCTAGCGTCCAATAATCCTGCATTGCGAAACTAAAATTCATCTGGCAGAATGCCTGTGAATTTTATGCCTGTTTTAGAATAAAATAAAGTTTTAAACAGTTGTCTGTTACTCTCATATAAGTATATACACTTAGTCAATTAATTTCTCCATAACTTCATAAGTTGTAATTGAAAAATAAAAAATTGAAGATTCCAGGAAATTTACATCTTTTTGACGTTTTGGGCAATTTTTTATGACAGTATTTATTCTGAGGAAAACAACATGCAATTTCATACAACGGACTTGCAGTAATTCCAGCTATGAAAATAATTTGTTAATATCAAATGACATGAGGAAATGATTGCATTTATGTGTATTGCTTGTCATTTTAGAAGAAATGTCAGCTCATTTGTCTGACATTCAATGCTGATGAGCTTGAATGTCAGCCTTTGATAATACTAGTACTGTACTTTACAAGCTCTTCTACAGTATAGTGTGGATCTGAAAAAAATAATATGTGTAAAATTCGCTAAGAGTTTTTCATCGCACTATTTATGATAAATCGGTGTTATTTATGCGCTGACCTTCGATATTTTGACGTGAATCTTGGTCAACAGGTGAAAAAGAAGTCTTGCTCTGCACAAACCAACGGAGGCCTGGTTCACAGAAAGCTAGTCAAAAGCCTGTCCGAAATGGGCCAATTCGAGGACATCCAGATGAAAATCTACGACCTGGACACTGGACTGGTCCGATCCCGGGAATTCATCCTGCCTCCGCCGATTGATTTCGAATGCAGTGACCAACATTCCTCTGCATTCTTCGGAGACGAAGAGGAAGACGGAGCAGAAGAAGACGGGGAAGACGACGATGATGTCGGTACTGGTCACAGGGAGTACCGGGAAATTAAGAAGATGAAGGAGTACCAGGAGATATTCATCGACTTTCAGCCCATGCCCGTGATGGACCCTGCTGAGTACTGCTTTCGAAATGCCGTGAGTTTTTCTGTACTGTACTGTACTCTACTGTAAAGCGCTGACATCTATTATGTACCCTCTTGAATACGTTTTTCCGCGGCTTATCCATTATTGATGGACAGTCGTCCATTCTTTCGTCATCAGCACTTGCTTATTTCTGAAACGCGTACAATAAAGGGTGGTTCGGAAATGTTTTCCACTCAATCGCCTCGTGACGTGGCCAGGAAATAATCCCATAGAAAAAGATTTCGCATGCAGTTTGATTCATCTACAGTATTTTAAATACTGCCCTGGAGGGATTTGAAGATTCAAAACGAGTTATTGTAAACGTATAAAAAAAAAGCAATTTGGAAACATGGTAATTTTTGACCCCTGATAAATTTACTTATTGATGTATTGAAGATTATATTGAATCGATTGCTCCGTGATTCCTTTCCCATCATTTTTCAATTTTCGAATATTATGCTATTTTACGAAATTATGTCCTAATTATACTGAAATGTATGTTTGCAGTCTTTTTATTATTCAGTGGTGTTCTCAATTTTAGCACTTGTCGCATTCCGTCCCATGAAATGTCATTACACAAAAAGTTTATTTTCCTCTGCGTGAAATTGAATTTAACAGCTGCAATTTTTCTCTCACTGGCATTTTATCCCTTGGCATTGTCTCAATAAGTGACATAATTCCTATGCTGATATTTTCTCATGACACCCGTGAAATAAATTGGTCGTTTACTCAAGTTAGATTCCTTCAGGGTAGTGTGGTAATATTTACGAGACCAAAAACAAGTCTGTTGAACGATCATAGGCATGAATCTTCATTATTTTATTTTATTTTATCATGTCGAACGCTTCCTAGGTCTAGATTTTCTGGAGAAAAACAAAAACCACTGGATATCATTTATGTGACAGGCTGGGGGAGAAACAAATATCTTCTGTCTGTGTTCGGTACTGGGAAAAGGAGTATTTTCGAATGATCGATGATGTGAATCAGATTAGGAGAAAAGTTTCACTCAAGTATTTTCGACCGGAAAATTTTAGATTTGAACCTTTCCAGTAGTAAAAAAGAATCAGAATCGGCGTTCTCGACTTCTCGTTAAAATAAACAGCTGTCCGTATTATTCATTGGACCTAAATTTACTGACAAACTAACAGAGTTGAGTTTTTTTTTTCAAATTGCTGAATTTTCTGTTACGGTGTAGCACTTCCAATACTGTAGTTTTTAAACTGTGATGAAATTGGCGTGTTATTTAAGACGCCTAAAATGTACATAACTTTGTTTGACATTCTGACATAACATATGAGATGCAAAACGCGTTTCTCCATGATGATGATACATTATCAATTCTATCATTCTTTAGCGGGCACCCAAAAAAAATGAAGAAACTGTGAAACAATGTTTTCCTAGTTTTCAGCATTAAATGAAAAACTTGAAATTAATTAACGACGCGGTGCACGTAACCCGGGGGTTTTAAAAACAATATGATTCAAAGCTAAGTCTGTCTTCTTATATTTTCCTTATTTTTTTAACATTTCCAAATTCAAGCGTAAAACCTGCTGAAATTTGGATTTTTGGCCCCAAAATATTTCTCTTCGCGAGACAATTTCGTCTTTGAGTCTGTTCTTCCCTCTGCAAAATTCCGTGTTACGAATTTTCGTTGCGCGAGTCTTTCGTTGTGCGGGGACCCACTGTATATAGCTGACTCAACGTTGAAATCATCATCATTAGTAGATTCGGATTAGCTCACAAGCTAATTAACTATAGCATTCCTTACCGTGACATGCGTATATCCGTTCTTATTCCTCTACTCTTGTCCTGTCCGTGTTCCGACTTGGAGTACTGCTGCAGAATGAAGGGACTCTTTTTTTTATGATTGATGATGTGGAAAAAAAAAGCAGGGCAGAAAACCGCCGGTGACGTTAGTGAAGACCCTGTCTGAGGGAGACATGCTCCACGGGCGGCACCAGGGGTACTCGCTGCCGACGGGTTTCATAGACGTCGACTTGGATCGAGTCAAAAGCGAACCCGAGGAGGAGTTTGTTGAAAGGTGACCTACCTTTTTATCTTCTTTCCTTTCCCGCTTTTTAATTTTTCTAATGTGTTCTTTCTGCTGATGGAGTTGGGTCATCCATCTCCTCCCATTCACCATCACTGCTGTGTGTTTGTGTGTGGGTGTATATCGGTGCTGGAAATAACCCAGAAATCCTCAATACCTCAGCGATAAATGTTGGCATATTTGTTGGCTGAGTTTTTTTTTTTTTACCAGTTTTAGACATTTTTCTTTTGATAGGATTTTTATATTGATATGCCATCGGAAAATAAGAATTGCATGTGCGATCAAATAGAGAGTATTAAGTTGGGTATCACGCGTCTTCGAGTATAAGAAGCGCATTTCGATTTTCGTATAAGTGAATAATTTTGTAAAAAGAAGTTATTCTTAGGTGAGCCATGCTTCTCACTTGTCTGAAAATTACTCACAAACTCTCGATATCTTTTTAAATAAATAACCGCCTATTTTTTTGTGAAGTTGAGTCTCACTCAGTAGAAAGTTACAATGAATTTATTCCTTAAAATTCCGTCCAAAAAGAAGCGTAGTTGCTACCCAAGTATGAGATCCGTAATCCCATTTTCGTGGGAAAAGTTGGGTTCGAAATGTACCGAAATTTAAGTTTTAAAATAAGTACCTTATAATCTTTTCATATTCTTATACATTTTGCCGGTGTTCCTTGCTTTTTTTGAAGATTAAAGCAACTGTGAGAATTTTTTTTAAAGAGTTGCGCTTTTCATGAAATTGCATCTTCAGAATTTTGTTCGTGTTTGCCTGGGAATTTTTGTATCTGAAGTCCCAAAAGATGCCCATTTGACAAAAATCAACGTACGATCAAATCTAAATTTTGAATCGCTTGAGATTCTTTGAACAAAAGTGCTTCAATTTCAAAATTAAGAGAGGCTTTCATTTTTTCAGCATTTTCCCAAACTATGTCTACCATTATTATAACAATTAAAAAAAAACGAGTCAATTTTGAAAAAATGAAATAAAATTTTAAAAATATGTTGCAGATATGTTTCATGCTCTAACCCGAGAACGCCGACTTCATCGTTGCCCCGGAAGTCGAGTGCCAAGACGTCATCTCTCCAACATCCGGAACCGGAAGTTGACCGCCCCACTTCCGCTCCTCCAAAATCCGGCGCACCGGCGTCATCATCCGTTCTAGACTCTGCCACCAGTGGGGATGACGAAGAATCCGACGAAGCCCGGGATGAAGAAGACGGGTTCCACGAAGACCTGCTCATGTCCGAGTGGATAGGGAAGCGGAAACCGCAGACCGGAAGCGAATCCGGTCAAGTCGACGGTGTGCCGGAAGCCAGGCTGTTGTCGGTGGATGTGGACGATGCCTCGCACGGAGATCAGGAGAAGCCACGATTGAAGGACGAACTTGTTGTTTCTGGGGAAGGTCAGGTGGCGGTGGTGGTGGTGTCGTCCCATCAGGCGCCGCCGCCGAGTCAGTTCGCTTCCGACTTTTCGCCGCCGAAAGTGATTGGGAAGGAGACCGGAAGTAAACTGGGTCCATCAGGAAGGAACAATGGGGCAGACAACGTTACTCTCAAGTCACCAACTCCCGAAGAGGCAAGTCCTTCTTCTTTTCAAAGACCTTCGATCAACTTTAATGGTCTTTTAGTAAAATTTTTCTCAAGTACCAGCACGCGCACCATTTTTCAAAATTTAGGGGAAATTCATGAGGGAAGTTGCGGGTGTACAATTTTTTCAAAAGATTATAAGCTGAAGTGTACATCGTACGTGATTCTAAGAGAATATGTTGGACCCATTTTAACTAACTATTTTTATGGAAGGGAAAACAAAACAAAATCAAATATTTTCCTGTTCAACACAAGTTGAAATTAAATTCGTGATGCGCTTTATTTTCAAAATACTGTATTGAAATTTTCAGCACTAGAAGTAGGGTGAACATCTCTTTCTGGGATGGGATTATCATCCACATTTTGGGCTGAAAAATCTGGGTCAGCGCCGTACTTGGGGGTTCATTGTTCTTGGTTAAGCATCCAGTAGTGGTACTGCATTTACGGAAGTACCACGAGCAATTTTTTTCAATGAATTGGAACAGAAAATGAGTTGAAGTGTACTTGCATTCTTGTTGGATGCAAATTTCCAAATTAATATTTTTATTAAGAAAAATTCCCCCAACCTTCAACATTTTTTCGAAATTCTCTCTATTTTAAGGTTATTATTATTATTTTTTTCAAGAAATTGTCAACATAGAATTCATCTTTCAAGTGGGCTTGAATTTATGTTTCTACTCAGCGCAGTTTTTTTTTTTTCAAATGGGGATTTTGGTAAGTGAAAACTATGGTGCGGATCTTTTGTGCGAGGATAACATTTTTTTCCGAAATTTGTAGGTAAAAAATCTAAGATGCGTGTCTTATTTGAGGGCGCGTGGTACTTGAGAAAATATGGTATTATCGAAATTACTTTTTCAGTCAACTCAATTTATTTCTGCTCGATGTGCTGATGATGCTGGTTTCATTGCACTTTTTGCTTCTTTTTTTTAAAATCATGGCAGCGTCCCTTGGAAACAGCAGTCGTGCCAGCTGCAGTGTCCCGAAAACAGAGCTCTTTGTCTTCGGAAAGCATGCGCTCATCACGGGTCTCCTCGGACTCTGAACTGAAAACTTTCGACGCCGGAGAGTATTCCGAAAACATGGGCTCCATGAGTATAACCCGAGACGAAATGGCCCTGATGACAGTCACCTGCTCTGCCGACAATAATGGTAACAGTCGCCAGCACAGCAACGGCGGTGGCGGCGGTGGTGGGCAGGCGTCGGAAAGTGAGACGGATCCCCTGGAGATCCTCGCCCCGAGGGCCACGTCCAGGGCGAATATCCGGCTCAAGCAACCACCGGCGCCGGTGGTGTTGGATGAGGAATGTTCCACCACCAACACCAATACAGGTATGTATCCTTTTTTCTGCACACTATATTTTTATTGAGTTTCTTTTTTCTTTTTTTTTTAAAGGGAGATACATCTAAATTACAGCTGAGCAGATCAGAGTGATTCGAGTTTAGAAAACCTTTAGATAAGCCCCAAAAAAAATAAAAATGCCGCCTGGAAGACCTGTGCAGTTAATCCTATCCCAGAAGTTTAGCAAAAAGTTGGCCTTCAGAAAGCTTTTTTTGGCTCAAACAATTTGATTTTGCCGAAAAAAATTTACAATTTAGGGATTTTTTTCTGTTACAAAATTAGATTGTAAGGATTTTTGTGTAAGATTTATTGGTTGAACGTGAACAAACTGTTCAGCAGTAGTTGTATTGAGTTTCATGAATTTTCCAGTTCACCGCACACATCACAGGCGTATACTGCAGTGCTGATCAAACTCAAAAGAGTTAAATTTGAAGCAACGAAAAGCAAGTTTGAACTTCGAACTTGCTCAAATTTGAGCATATTTTGTCTGAAAAAATCCCGTCAAGCAGAAAACGTTCTGCAAATCGGGTCGTTTTTTATTTTATTCCAATTAATCCTATTTTTTGTAGGAATTTTTCATTGTGGGGAATCAACTGCGATTTTTTTTAGTTGCAAGCGTTTTCTGAAATTGAAACATTCTGTTGGAAAATTTGAAGAGCTAGTTCTTTTCTCGAAAATTTTCTGATTCATTTTTTGTATGTGGACCAACTGTAATAGATAGATCTGGGACAAAATTTCGAGAGGTACAATTTGAGACACGAACATTTGGAGGTAATTTTTTATTTTTCAAAATGGAGAAAGGATTGAATGAAGCTCCATGCCTTTTCACTTTTGGTTTTTTTTTCGTTTCCCAAACATGAAGACTCTATATCTGAAAAGTATTCGACAGAATCATATGCAGTACCACTATCATTTTTCTCCTTGATTATTTACATTTCCCCATTCTCAATTCGTCTCTGTCTTGAATGTTCTATCTCATGTTGTCCAAAATCCCACCTGTAATAATTGCTGAATTGAGTTGTATGCATTTTTTTCAAATTCTCCACTCGCACATGCAGGCACTACAGTCTTGGTGCGAGGCAAAAGCATCGACAGTGGCGACGTGGTGACATCCTGCAGCAACCTGGCATCCCTCTCATACGACATGGAAACCCCCGACGAAGTGAAGCTCGCCGGTCGAACCAGTCCCGACGGACAGACCCAGCAGCAAATCCGGGCCCGCAAAAAGACCGAGCAAATCGTGGAACTCTACAAGCGCTGCGGGGTCACGCTGATCCCAGAGTCCGGAGAAAGCACGGAACGAGAGTCTCTGGGCTCCACGGGTTCCAAAACGACGACCTTCGACGAGGAAATTGCCAAGATGGGCGTGGAGAGGTTGCTGATGCCCGGGACGAAGGTGTCGTCGACGACGACGGCAGCGACCCAGCAGCAGCAGCAAGCATCCCAAACAACGACGGGGTTCGTTATTGCGAATGTGGGGGCTTTGGGATCGGGTAAAAGTGGGGTCGAGTCGCCTTGTCAGGCTGTGTCTGTGAAGAAGCAGACTGGAGAGCATTTTCTCAGCAGCTTTGCCAGGGAGGATTTGCCTCCTTTGCCGCCGGAACCGGAATTGGAAGAAGATGCTGCTGTGATGGGGAAGGAGACTCCGAGTCCCACTTTGAGTCGGCCATCTTCGTGAGTGAATACTCTTAATTATGAACAGTTATGTGTAAAATATAATATACTGTACGTCGCGGAATTTCGCTGTAACTTGTCTGGGAATGTCCGAAGGAGTTCGAATTTGCCTTTTTACGTGTGCGGCGTAAATTTCAGCAATCAATAGAAAAATCTTATTTTTGTGCAGCAGAATTTACTCGCCTGGCCTGAACCGCATTTCACAAAATTAATCTGGAAAACACTTGGAAAATAAGCAATTTTCTACTCCAAGAAGGCCATTGAGCGGCCATTTGTTTCTAAAGAAAATATGCGCTCAAAGAAGAAACTCCCTCTAGCGACGGACATTTTAACCACGTTGCCGAATCCTAAATAGATGTCAACCCAAGTCACTGAATAAAAAATAACCGCGACCCATATAAAATCTAAACCACCGACATATGATTGCAGTATTTTTTTTGCAAAAATTATATACAGTATGCAGTATTTGTTCAATCTTGCCTTGGAATAACGATAAAACTCCGATTATTATCAAAATTCGAATTATGTAAAGAATTAATTTAATAAGTGGAATTTTTAAGAACCCGCGAAGCTTTACTTGAAACGATGGAACCACTCCCAGGGTTTTTTTTTACATTTTATAATGCCCTATGTAATTGCACTTGCACTTGAGTGAGTACTTATATTGTGATGGTAATGATCTATTATTGTTGGAGACGCTTATCTTTTGTGAGTACTGTGCAGTAATCGTCTTTTCTTTCAAGTATTTTCCTGACTTTAAGGAATTGCAGTTCTGTCAGTGTTGGATGAATAAAGAAGTCTTAGGAAATTCATCAAAAATGTACATTTTTCTTCTCCATGGTGGCGCAAATTTGACCTGGACATTGATAAAAATTGTCATTTCCCTGTCGTCTTTTTTATTGTAATTGCTTCTTTTTTTTAAGCGAAAAATTCCGTCTTTTTTCGATAGTTCTCCAGTTTTAAAATTCATTTGTTGCGAGTTTGAATAAATACAACTTAATATTTCACGGTATCCGAATTTCTTTGATAATTTTTATCAATTAACCACTCAGAAGAGGCATGAATTCTGAAATTAGAAAATGGAATGAAAATGATAATTTAAAGAAATCCAAAAATGTAATTTCATTTCAACTAGAAATCTCAGCATTGAATGCTGTAATTTTTCAGCATACTAGGTTGTTTACGTATCCCAGCGCCAAAAACTGATCTTCCGAAAAGGATTCTAGCAAAAGGAAAAATGCTCTTTGCATGCTGTGGAGCCAGAGTTGCCAGACGTATCCCTGGAATTATTCGCAATTCATTTCAGAATTATTACACTGTGCAAAAAAAAACTTTCGCTCAATGCTTATGACTCATGCAGCATCTAAATAGCACTACATTCAGTAATATCATACACAAATTATTTTATTTATACTATATTCAGAAATCCAACCATTTTACCCTATTTAGTCCTGGAAAAATGTGTGCCTTGAATGAATTCCGTACGTAAGTGTAAAAGAATTTGATTCATTTTTTGTTCATTTCTTAATCTCTCCGTAAAAAACATATATCTAGCTTACATCTCACTGCATGCCTCAGGGGATCCGCCGTATAGGCATTGATCCGAATAATGGCTCTTCGATCCAACTCATTCAAAAGACTGTGCATTAAATTACCTTCACTATATTGTTGTTCGGTGTGTATCAATTTCAGGGAGCCGGAAGCAGTCTCTGAAACCTGGAGCCAGCAGGAAAGAAGCAAAGCCAGGAGAGAACTGACCCTGGACCTGGAGCCTCAAGACTTCCATCACCAGCAGGAGCCCCTTCTTGTNGAGGTAATTTTTTATTTTTCAAAATGGAGAAAGGATTGAATGAAGCTCCATGCCTTTTCACTTTTGGTTTTTTTTTCGTTTCCCAAACATGAAGACTCTATATCTGAAAAGTATTCGACAGAATCATATGCAGTACCACTATCATTTTTCTCCTTGATTATTTACATTTCCCCATTCTCAATTCGTCTCTGTCTTGAATGTTCTATCTCATGTTGTCCAAAATCCCACCTGTAATAATTGCTGAATTGAGTTGTATGCATTTTTTTCAAATTCTCCACTCGCACATGCAGGCACTACAGTCTTGGTGCGAGGCAAAAGCATCGACAGTGGCGACGTGGTGACATCCTGCAGCAACCTGGCATCCCTCTCATACGACATGGAAACCCCCGACGAAGTGAAGCTCGCCGGTCGAACCAGTCCCGACGGACAGACCCAGCAGCAAATCCGGGCCCGCAAAAAGACCGAGCAAATCGTGGAACTCTACAAGCGCTGCGGGGTCACGCTGATCCCAGAGTCCGGAGAAAGCACGGAACGAGAGTCTCTGGGCTCCACGGGTTCCAAAACGACGACCTTCGACGAGGAAATTGCCAAGATGGGCGTGGAGAGGTTGCTGATGCCCGGGACGAAGGTGTCGTCGACGACGACGGCAGCGACCCAGCAGCAGCAGCAAGCATCCCAAACAACGACGGGGTTCGTTATTGCGAATGTGGGGGCTTTGGGATCGGGTAAAAGTGGGGTCGAGTCGCCTTGTCAGGCTGTGTCTGTGAAGAAGCAGACTGGAGAGCATTTTCTCAGCAGCTTTGCCAGGGAGGATTTGCCTCCTTTGCCGCCGGAACCGGAATTAGAAGAAGATGCTGCTGTGATGGGGAAGGAGACTCCGAGTCCCACTTTGAGTCGGCCATCTTCGTGAGTGAATACTCTTATTTATGAACAGTTCTGTGTAAAATACAATATACTGTACGTCGTGGAAATTCGCTTTAACTTGTCTGGAAATATCCAAAGGGGTGGGAATTTGCCTTTGTGGCGTAAATCTCAGCAATCAATAGAAAAATCTTATTTTTTGCAGCAGAATTTATTTCGCCTGGCCTGAACCGCATTTCACAAAATTAATCTGGAAAACACTTGGAAAATAAGCAATTTTCAACTCCAAGAAGGCCATTGAGCGGCCATTTGTTTCTGAAGAAAATATACGCTCAAAGAAGAAACTCCCTCTAGCGACGGACATTTTAACCACGTTGCCGAATCCTAAATAGATGTCAACCCAAGTCACTGCATAAAAAATAACCGCGACCCATATAAAATCTAAACCACCGACATATGATTGCAGTAATTTTTTTTGCCAAAATTATATACAGTATATTTGTTCAATCTTGCCTTGGAATAACGATAAAACTCCGATTATTATCAAAATTCGAATTATGTAAAGAATTAATTTAATAAGTGGAATTTTTAAGAACCCGCGAAGCTTTACTTGAAACGATGGAACCACTCCCAGTGTTTTTTTTTTTACATTTTATAATGCCCTATGTAATTGAGTGAGTACTTATATTGTGATGGTAATGATCTATTATTGTTGGAGACGCTTATCTTTTGTGAGTACTGTACAGTGCTCGTCTTTTCGTTCAAGTATTTTTCTGCCTTTAAGGAATTGCAGTTCTGCCAGTGTTGGATGAATAAAGAAGTCTTAGGAAATTCATTAAAAATGTACATTTTGCTTCTCCGTGGTGGCGCAAATTTGACTGCGACATAAAATTGTTATTTCCCTGTCGTCTTTTTTATTGCAATTGCTTCTTTTTTTAAAGCGAAAAATTACTTTTTTTCGATAGTTCTTCAGTTTTAAAATGTATTTGTTGCGAGTTTGAATAAATACAACTTAATATTTCATGGTATCCGAATTTCTTTGATAATTGTTATCAATTATGCACTGAGAACTGTGAGAAGAGGCATGAATTCTGAAATCAGAAAACGGAATGAAAATGATAATCTCAAGAAATCAAAAAATTTAATTTCATTTCAACTAGAAAGCTCGTCAGCATTGAATGCTGTAATTTTTCAGCATACTAGGTTGTTTACGTATTCCAGCGCTAAAAAATAATCTTTCGAAAAGAATTCTAGCGAAAGGAAAAAAATGTTTTTGCATGCTGTGGAGCCTGAGTTGCCAGACATATACCTGGAATTATTCGCAATTCATTTCAGAATTATTAAACTGTGCAAAAATGACTTTCGTTCAATGCTTATGAGTTATGACTCATGCAGCATCTGCATAGCACTACATTCAGTAATTATTATACACAAATTATTGTATTTATACTGCATTCAGAAATCAAACCATTTTACCCTATTTATTACTGGAAAAATGTGTGCCTTGAATGAATTCCGTACTCAAGTGTAAAACAATTTGATTCATTTTTTGTTCATATCTGAATCTCTCCGTGAAAAACATATATTTTACATCTCACGGCATGCCTCAGGGGATCCGCCGTAGGCATTGATTCGAATATTGGCTCTTCGATCCAACTCATTCAAAAGACTGTGTATTAAATTACCTTTACTATATTGTTGTGAGTTAAAGTCCCTCGGCCTTCGTCAGAGACTTTGGACCTCGGTCGTCCTTTCTTCGTTTCGGTCCTCTCTTGACTGGGACCTGGACCTCGGAGTTCTGAAGGTAGTGGTCGTCCTCGGGGAAGAACACCTGGACGTGTCTGAATCCCCGGAACACGCTGCTGCTGGTCCTCCCCGGGTACCACATACTGCCCTACCTGGAAACAATACCGGTACTCTAGCCAAGCGCTGGGACGACATCCCGAGACGCAAAGACAGGAGGAAGATCGTGTCCAGTTCCCTGGGCATGGTTCGCAGTCCAGCCATGCATGAGGGGTTCAAGAAGGAACTGTTCACTGTTGAAAGATCTCCTGGTAATTAATCATATAATGTACATACAGTATATATACATACGCCAGGGTTGTCCCAATAAGGCCAGCGTATTTAGTTTCATATTTAGAACGATAAAAATTTCATCGATTATCTTACGATATTCAAGGTTTTAGCATTTTTCTCAGATTTTCAAGATTTTTTTCATGATGAAAAGGGAAAACTTTCCCATTACGGCCAGAGTTTATTTTTTACTGAACATTTATCAAGAGTGTTGATAATTTGAAATTACGTTGTTTTGCCCGCTACTTTTTTTCTCATTCAATGTTTGGATCATTATGCATCAATACTTATTCAACAACTAAAAACTAAAAATTCGAAAATGTTTAGTAGCTGCAATGGCATGGGGTTCCTTCCTGTGTTCCCAACTTTTTTCTCAGAAATATTTACCAAGACCATTGTTTACTACCTATAATTTGTTTTGTATTTTTTACCATCAGATTGAAGTTTAATGTTGAACCAAAACCTCTCTGGTCTTTTTTTTCTGAGTCAAGGTCAAAATACAGGGTAGAGCTAGTGGGAGTCAATCCTGTTGTCTTTTGTCCCTCTGCATCATTCTCACCAATCAAATTTCCAAAGTTTGTAATTGTCTTAAATTTTCTTGATGAATTTTCAGCTCACTGTGGAATAAGTAGAAAACTCCTGACGTCATGGGAAAATTTTCATATTTCATCTTGCAGCAGTGCATTGCAAAAACTTCAATGAAAAATCTGAAAAATTTACCTGAAGCTTGAAGCTTAATGAGATAATCAATTTAATTTGCTTTCAACTCGTTTGAAGGCTTTACGGCATTTGACATTAGAAAATACACATTTTATTAATGTTTTGGACAGGAACCCCCTTCGGATATCCTGGCATCAACGTCCAGTTCCGATTCGGAAGGAAAAATGCGTCATAAAAAATCTGAATGTTGAAAAAAAACTGACAACATCATGAGAATATCAATGTGATTTGTTTTCACATTTTTACCAAATTAAAAACATGAAACAATATGCGTGCGGCTTTGGGACAGACGAGCTTGTACGTCCGTGTTGAATTTTAAATTTTATTCTCGGGAGGCTTTAGTTTACACAGGGCTTCTGGAATTATAAATTTCAAATTGAATCCATTTGTTTGACAGGAACCCCTATAGAAATCCTGGCATCAACGTCCAGTTCCGATTCGGAAGAGGAACTGATTCGCGCCGAAGAGCGCAGACGCCGGCGCAATGGCCGCAAAAAGGGACGCGGCAAAAGCCTGAGCCGCGACAGTTTGGACCAAGTGCCTTCCGACCACAATAACACCACTGCCACCACCACCACCACCACCAAGGGACCACTATATCATCAGCAGCAGGAGGAGGAGACCACAACAACACGGCCACTTTGGCACGGAATCCCAACAAGCACAACAGGAATCATCGCCGCAGTAACGCCACACCGTCTCCGAAACCGCCTGCGACCAGTAGTCTGGACAGGAGGAAGAACGTGGCGAGGTATGCGCAGCAGGAAGAGAGCTCTGATGAGTCGGACATGACGGGTCACAGAGCGTATCACACGATGCCGTTGCAGCATAGGGTAGGCGTGGACATTTGCCGCGGGCGTTTTGGGGAACCCGAAGGTGGGTGTATATATTTCCTCCAGCAATATTTGATCAATTAATTGATGAGCAGTGACTTGTCTCATCGCAATGCATGCCCAGTTTTCTTCTTTTGTTTCTTACCTGAAGAGTTGTAAATAAAATGAGGAAAATATTTTTTGAATGAATAATGGGTTACATAAGGTACTCAACTCAGAGGGACCCATGGAATGAAATTGACTCGGGGAGTTTTGAGGTATATAGGGAAACCAGTATTTTTGCTAAAAAAAATTATTAATCGCGGAAACTTGGAATTGGTAAGATGTTTATCATTGGGCTGCTTGAATGAATATGCTCATAAGATGTTGAACTTGATGGCAAGGGTACATTTAAACATACAGTATCAGTCGCTCACTTATTTTTTATGAGCATCTATATCAACATTTCTGATGCTTTTATTCTTCCTGGGTCCCCAGAATAATAGCCAAAAAGGCTTCCAGGAATTCAAATTGTACAGACAATTGTTTGACAATTTGTTTTACCATGTTTAATTACTTTTGAAAGCCTCAATTTTTTTTAGGGTCTCTAACTTACTTACCCGATGAATTATACGTTTATTATTCACGAAAAATCAAACTAAGAGAGCTTCTTATTCCAAAGATTTTATCGCTTGCTTGCAGCATGTCCAAATATTTTGCCATATGCCTGATTTTTGTCATAGTCTTAATTTGTCATTGTAACAGGACCAGTGGTTACAAAGCTGTCCAGAGAACGGATCCGCAGCACAGACCCCGGTGAGGAAGGCGAAGAAGAAGACAATGACGGGGAAGACGACGAGAACTCCTCATCTCGTCATCAACCGCCGCCACCGCCGCCGTCATCGTCCACGCAAAAGCCGCCTTTTATCGGAGTTGCCACTAAATTCCGCCGCCATCAATTGAAAACCGCCGAGGCGTCCAGCTCTTTCGAGGGACACGAAGTGCTCCTACTCACCGAAGCCAGCAGCAGCAGCAGCACTGCGCATCAGAAAGAAATATCTCCTTTGGCGAATGCTGAAGGCTCTGGAAAACCGGGTAGCAATAATAATAATACTGTGGCGATGATGACCATGACCAGCAGCAGCAAACCCCCCGTGGTCGGACCTAAACTCGGGTTCTTTGATCCTTCCGTGACTACCAGTAGCAATGAAGTGTCCACTGTGAAACTCTCGGGTAAACCCACACCGCCGCCGAAGCCTAAATTCAGCAAAGGAAAGCCGCCTTCAGAAGCCGCCGGCAGCACCCATAAGCCGAGTGCGACACCTGTTGCAGAAGCAATAAGCTCCGCGATCCCTAGTAACAACAATAAATCCCAGCAGAGAGTGAGTTTCGTGGATACTGAGGAAGCAGCGCCATCTGGCACATCAGAAGAGAGCTTAGTCCAGAGAAAATCCACCATCACACAAACTGGGAGGAGTTTGAAGAAGAAAAAGTTGGCTTTGGAACTGGTGGGTGCGGAGAACGTATTGCGACCACAGAGTGTGGAGCCCCAACAACAACAACAGCAGCAGCAGCAGCAGCAGCTGGGCTCTGTGACAGCTGAGGCTACAGAGCTCACTTCTGGGAAATCTTCTATTGGAACAGAGACTCCAAGATTGCCAAAGCATTCTTCAGTGGCTGGAAAACCTGGAAGTAGGGCCAAGTCTGAGGAGCGAACAGTGGCTGGAAAAACGTGAGCATTGTAGTTTTACTCCCCAGTTTCAAACATGTCAGCAAGGTGTCGCCTCAATCAGAGTTGTTCCCCTATACATGGTTGGATATTGGACCTAACATATTTCAATAATGTATGTCTGAATAATGAAAGGATGATTCAAATTGCTACCAAGCATGTGTCCATGTTACATTTGGAGATATCTTTGAACTTCTTGAGAATTTCCCTTTGATCTCATTAATTGATTCTCAGAGGTCTGCTGGGGAGAGCTTATTCAGGATTTTAATGCATCTCTTCCTTTCACAGAATGCTCAAGTCCTGCAGTACTTGAATAAAGGTCATCCTTATTTGAAATGATAAACTAGATATACCAAGCAGGAAGAGTTCTCTATTTAACATCTGTCTGTCAGATGTTGTCTGTAAAATTGAGAATAATAATTCTGAGAGAGTTGGTATCAAAGAAGTGTGAACAAATTTGAGTTTCCAATTGAATTTAATACTGTAATAAGATTTTATGTTTTTATCAATCTGCAGCTAAATTGATGTGCTGTAGTTGCATATGATTCACTCAGTAGGAATCACTGACACGATGCTGACTATTTTGGAAAGAAAGAAACAGCATAATAATGCAGAATTTTTGGCCAGTTCAGGTCACTGTGAATGTGTTTGAACAGGGGGATTTGCACATTCATGACTAGGTGTCATGTCTGCTCATGCGAATAAAGTAAGTCCGTGATGGAAAAGCTGCTCCGAACTGCTGCATCATTGTCTCATTCAAGGCATGAATTCCATGAGACAAATAAAATAAAGTAGAAATTTAAATATACATCAAGTGTAAATAAAACAAATCACGTCAGTGGTCCAAAAATATTTTCAGCATTCAAGCAATTTTACTTCAATTATCGATAAATATGGCTTGCTTTTTAGAATTTTCCTTAAAATAATGTCAAGTAAATTTTAATTAATCAGAATTTAGAATCATTTGTCCCTTGATAACAAATAAAGGATTTCTTCCAGCAGGGAACCTTAATAATATTTAGCATTTATGCATGATTTGGAGCGGGTTAGCAACTTCTGTGGGGGGGGGGGGGGTCTATTATCTTAATTCAAAGATACATGTACGAATCATATTGATGTTCGTTTTTTATTTGAAAAGGAGGAGAAAAATGACAGGCAGTACGGAAAGAGTCTGCATGGATTCTTGCAGTTCCGAAGCGTCGTTGAGCAAGTTGTCTCGACGGAATTCCCAGAGCTCTGCCAAGTCCATGTCCCTGGATCTTTCCTTTGACGACGAAGAAGAAAGCGGTGAGCTGAATCCCTGATTTTCATACATGCAATTTGATCATTATCTCAAGATGTTGTCTGTATATATTCCTTCTTATATGCAGGTGACGTGTATCCGGGTTGTTACAAGCACTGCTACTGGGTTTACGTCGGGGAGAAGCGAAGAGTGGATGAAGACTCGGAGGAATTACTTGATCCTGACAACGAACTAGAGAGTCAGCTCGGGGGAGATGACAAAAAGTCCAGTCTGGAAGAAATTAGCAGTGAAGCCAAAACTTTAGGTACAGTTATTCTAAGGCATTAGCATAAAAATCACTTTCGCTCTATCTTGGATTTCGAGTCAATTATTGAATTTTATTAAACCTCTTTTTACTTTTGTATGGACGTACTAAAAAATTTCTAGGACTTGGAAATTTTCGGACCGTTTTTTTTCAAATATTTTTTTTAACCAAACAATTTTTAGCTGATGAACAAATTACTGCTCATATGGTGAAGATGAACTTTTGACAGGGAAAATCGGACATGGAATTTGCTGAGCACTTGATGAAAGGTTTAAGAAAAATACCAGTTGTTTTTTCTGGCGTGTATATATACATCCTTCAAATGCTTTGTTTTTGTTTGAGTCTAAAAATTGACGTGTGTGAATGTTCAACTGAAATATTAAAATCACTGTTTATTTGGACGAGTCAATTACCGAAAACTATGATTAATTTTTGCAGACAACCGATCCTTCGAAATTTTTACAGTTTTTTGCCTATATATTGGCGCATGTGAATCATTGATAAATTATCGAATCACTGTATCATCGAATTTTTTTTTTCGATACATTGGCGTGTGAAGCCATGGAAAAAATCAAATCGGTGTATCGTCACGTGCAAAAAGTCCGTCGTTGTTTTTTTTTCATACGACTTCACTGTTTGTTTTTGTCTATGCAATACTGTACATTTATTTATGCGTGAATCTTTGACAATAAAAAAATCCGATCACCGTATCATCTGCACGTAAAAAATTGCCAATGATTTTTCCCATTTATTTTGCAGACGAGTGTTCGTCCATCAGCGGAGGGAACGGGTCTCTGGATGTGGCTGTCCGAGGTCGGAGTCCCTCAGTGGCATCCACGGGTTCCGAGCGTGATTTCAAGCGGAAGTATCAGGCGATCGCCCACCGCATGGTGCACAGGAAGGCCAGTTCCGAAATGTACAGACGCATCCAAGACCGGCATTTCGGTGAGATTCATATTTCCTGTCCTGCGCGTTTGCCTTCACACATCGTAGGAGTATATACTGTATACTCGTATAAGGCAGCGTGTTACTTTGAGCTCAGGGTATTTGGCTTCATTCATAATACCGTATCATCGTCATACGAGGTTTCTAACAAAAGTTCTCGAAGTAGCAATGAAATTGGCTTACAATAGAGCTGAAAAAAAATTTATTCTTTAGGGAAAACATATTCTTTGGCACACAAAAAAATATCAGCCCTGTTTGACAAATTTTTTGGAATTCGTTTCATAATTCATCCTGGCAGAGTTTTCCTCTCCACTCAAAAGATGAGGCGCCCTTTTTTTGTTGTAGCCCAGCGTTCCCCTCAGAATTTTTGAAATAAATTTGGCATTCTTTCTGAGGGTTGCCTCCAGGTCATCCAAGGCAATTCCGCCATTTTCATCAACAGCCGCCTAGAACTTTTGTTAGAACCCTCGTATGTGGTCAATGATCAGCTAGAGATTGAAGCGATAACGTGATGTGTACAGGAATTTACTGATCATATGTATGTTGGAACATAATATGGGGACAACATTTTGTGGCGCCTTCGGGTTAAATTCATTTATGTGTAAACAAGTGTCTGCCGTGACAAATTTTGTTTTTACACATTTTTGAATGCGTAGTTTCTTCATGTAGGAACCATGTTATAAAAATCGTTTCAATAAACTTACTTCCCCTGTAATCTCAGTATACAGTACTGTCGACTGTGTAACAAAATTTTCATTTGATAAGAGTATATAATAAGTGCTCTTCTTAATTTTTTCTGTTTATGCTTATGTAAAGGTTTATTAAGTTTGAGGTAGAATGATCTGTCGTTTACATTTTGAATTTGTTATGCTTTTTTCAAACCCAGTTGGAAATGATGATAAGGCCTGTTTTGTGAACATTATTATGAACATTAATCATATTTTTCTAATACTAGTCCTAATAGATGTCTCAATTTATTCAAGTTGAATGAAAATACTTTCAATGTATTTAGGTATATACTTGAACATTCCAGCAGTAAAGACTTTTCAAGATGCAATAATGTCTAGCAAATTGTACTATGAGTAAATTTAGAATAATTATTTTAAAAATAAAGTACTTTATGATTGATTGAATTTTAGAATACATATGGAATATCAGTCTGCAGTATGAAAAAGGAATTACGCAAAATATTGGACTGTATTTTAAAAGTGGGAATAACGCGCTCAAGCAGCACCCAATAAATTCTCCTCAACATTTTTACCATTTTTCAAGTCTTATCCCGAAATATTGTTCTCCGAAAACTTGAAAGGAAGTGAGAGATGATGTTTGTCGCCCCACGTCATCAATCTAATTAGCTTCACGCAACAAAAAAAAAAGAAAAGAAAGATTCTGTTAGGCAGAGAGCAGACGGGGAAAACATTTGCGACTTTCCATGGCATCCAACTCGGGTTCAGTGTCATTAGTTCAGGACATCGTAACGTGCTTGACCTACAAAGAATAACTCCGGATATTTCCAGAAAGCACGTTAGGAAAAAAATATAAATCCTGGGAAAGACATTTTCAGAAGTGTTATGGACCAAATGAATCCCGGGCTGACTTTTTTCCTCTCTTTTTCTATTTTGTATCTCCCCGAGCACGCATATCCCTGTTCCCACCGGGGGAAAAAGATGACTGGTGAAAGTGGAAAATTTTGCGCTGCCATTTTTTCAATTAGTTCACTATACTGCTTCTGCTTTAGAACAGAATCAGTGATGAAAACTTCATCTTTAGAGCTGCTGGTTGAATTTAACTTGTTGATTTTATTCTAATAAGAGCTGGTCCAAATATTTTCCGGTATTTCACTTACAGACTTGTTGAGTCTTTAAATTACAAAAGAAATCTACGAAGCACACACAAAACTGACTTACATTTTGTTTAATGTACAGGTATGAAATACTTTTTTTTCAATCATCGGAGACACAATCTTCACAAATCTTTTTTCAAATACGCTTCACAATTAACTTCCAGTTAAGAATGCACTTCATTTTGAATTTCTGGTCTTCTTGAATGAACATGTTTTATAAGTTAGCTACTGTATTTAGGCAGTCGTATCTACCATGTTTTAATCTTGCAGAAATCGGATTCAAACACTATTTTAGAATATTTTCCTCCAATAATTTTCTCAGTACTGTCCTTTTTATTTCCTAAAATAAATTGAAATAAAATAAATAAAAAATAAATAAAAAAAATAAATAAATAAATAAAATTAAAAATAAATAAAAAAATTAAAAATAAATAAAAAAAATTAAAAATTAATCAAAAAAATTAATAATAAATAAAAAACGAAAAAAATAAATAAAAAATGAAAAAATAAATAAAAAATGAAAAAATGAATAAATTAATTAAATAAATAAAATAAATAAATTTTTAAATTGAACCAAAAATCCCTCAGCTAACCACGTGCAAATCACGTCACGGTGCCTTTCGTTCAAGAGGAACTGAGAAAAGATTGTTAATATTTCTGGAGAAACGCAATGATGAAATTAATTGCAGCTAGAGAGCCATTACAGGAATGGCCATTTAAAATAAAATTGGCAAGCCTGCGTGTTCCTGTGCGTTATAATTTTGTTCAGCGAAAAAAAAATACATCATTCCCAATTTATACTTGATGTTCATAGTGTCGGTTAGGACATCAATGATTGTTGCTTTTATTTTTCGAAAAAAAAGAACGGAAAGTAGGACAAAGAGTACCATTAAATAGGTTGAGGAAATGGCCTCATAATGTTGACATTTTCTCCTCGTGTCCCTGAACACATACGTCGTTCGGTGGGTTTTTGCCACGTGCTGGTCCTTTCCTGGGAAATTGAGGAGTTCAAAAGATTCTCAATTGTGGCTCAAGTTATTTTCACTCCATTCCCTGACGATTTTTTTTCTCTCTGCGAATTTATAGCAGGTCTCACCTGAATTATTGCTAACCTGGCTTGAGAGCGAAACTTGCATATTTCACAGCAATTTGTGTGTTTGAGAGTGTGAACAGAATGAAGATGTATTCCTTAAACTGTACAGGAAACTTGATGAATTCGTGTTGGAAAAAGCAGTTCGTCGTTGGAAATTTATCTGGGTATGAGTTTCTCTTTTGATGGAACAATGCCTTATTCCCGAAAAATATTTTCGATTTGTCATTTAATTCTTTTTCAAATTTTCAAATCTGATCTTCGTTAATCTGAATGTTATTGTCAGCTCTCTTGATCCATCATATTAAATATTTATTATGAAATCATCTGATGATGCTGATTTGGTACATTTTTCATTGTCCTTCTTTAAAGCCCCGCTTCTGCACTTCTAATACCACTGTCAACCCATTCATAATTTATGTGGTTCGCTGAAAAACTTCTGGGGAATTTTTTTGAGTCACTCAAACTGTTGCTCTGAGAATTTTGGAAAATTGAAAGTCCCCCAAGGATTGAAAGGTGGTTGGAACAAAAAGTGGAATTTTTAGGAAAGACATGAATTTATCCAGTGCTTAAACTTCATCTGAGATGCCTTTTTTTTTATTGCTGACGAATGAAACTCTAAATGGTTACCTACAGAGAAATCGGAGTTCCCCTTCCTTCATTTACTTCATTAATTTCAATAAATTGACGTGTAATTGATACAATCTAGTGAAGAACCTTCGTGTGTTGCGTACAGTGCACGTGATACAAGAAGAGAAAATAAATCAAGTGTGAGATCCTTGCTGGAAGCTGGGCTCGTGCCAAAAAATGCGCCTTTTTTGTTTTGCTTCAGTGATGATGTTGATTTTTTACTGCGAAGGGCTGGAAGGCTAAAGAAAAAGAAAATGGCGTTTCAAGGGGAGATGAAAGATATTTCAAGCGACAGAACCACGAGGAAGTCGGGTTATTTTTGTATTTCATTTTCGATTTCTCCGCGAGTCGATGAACTTCTTGTTTTTTTCTAAGTGTTTTTTTCTAAGTTTTTGGAGAGGGGGGCAGTTCAATGGGCGGAACGAAGAATTACTGAATTTTGCGAGTCTTATGGCTGTTGTACTCGTCTGTACGACTGTTTTTACATTGACAAATGGATCTAAATGATCTCGTTCGTTCATCCTTGACCTGAGAAGACGGCGATTTGAGAATGCTTTTGTTTCTTCGCAAATTTTGTTTTCTCTGCCCGTCCTTCTTAACCTGCAACCCTTGGCTGATTTCCAAAAATTCCTGCAATATTCGGAAATAAACTGCTGCTGTTGTTCACGATGAGAAAACACGTCTAAAAAGCCATTTAAAAAATTTGAATATATTTTAAAAATACGGGGGAAAGGTTCGATATACTCAGCAAAATGAATCATGACTTTCAATTTCATGCTGCCCATTGTTGTACGAATACTTTACTTCAGTTTTTCGTTTACTGCTTATTATTTCTGCAAATTCTTATATATACTCTTTTTTTTGCAAATAGACGTGGATACGACAAAGATCAACATAATGGACCAACACTAAATGTTTTACTATTTTTGCGGTACTAAAAAAAGCCAGATTGATTACAGTATGTCTAATATCCATATTCAGAAAACTTGAATATTCAATTTTGACATTTTCAATTTTAAAACTTATATGCTCGTATTATACCTTTTTAAATTCCCATTACAGTGAGACCCCGAGATGCGGACGTAATCGGTGTATCAAGAGTGTCCCTAAGTCGAAATGTCCCTAAGTCAATTCTTGTTTTCCCATAGACTTGCATTATATAATTTTTAATTGGTGTTTTCTTAAAGAAATATTGATCAAAATTCCTTTTTAAAATTGAGAAAAAAATTCTACTGATGAAAAATTATTAAATCAGTGTTTTTCAAATCATGTATAAAATTTGGAGCATTGGGGACATAAAACATTCACAAAATGCAAAATTTCTGTGCTACTGCTGAATGTTAAGAAGGGAGATATAATATATATATAAGGGAGATATAACTTTTGTGAAATCAAGTACTGAAATTTGATTGTAAATAAAATGTTTCAAAATTATGTTCTACCATATATGGGAATGTAGGTCTTTCAAAAAGATTTTTTGGCTCAAGTTTTTTTTAATCCAAAATATCACCCATCTTTTTCCGGCATTTGTATTTGAATGAACCTCACAGAAAAAGGATTAAGTTAAGTTTTCTTCAAGTCCCTGTTTGAAAAATGATTTTACAGAAACCCCTCTTTGTTTCAGCATACAGTACTCTATGTTGATCTGAATTTTTTATTAACGCGTAAATTAGCCTGGTCCAACCAGAACTAAGAAATCTCAACTAAAAAAAATGTAAATTGAAAAATAAATCTGACATTTTACCAAAGATGGTACAGAAAGATGCGCGCGACATCTAAGTGAAAATCTATAAGAAAATTTTAGACTCCGAGGACAATATTTTAAAAATTGAAATCAATTTTTTTCGTCTCAACTTGTTGTTTCTAATTTAATTCACGTTGATTTATTTGACGGAAGACTTGGCCAAGTTATTTTGAAAAACGAGTTTCTTGAAGAAATAAAAAAATATATCGCACTGTATGTTGTTCCCATCGACTGGCTCTTTCATAATTTGAATGAAAAATAATAAAAACAAATTGGAGCTTATTTTTCCGGTGGTTGAAGAGAACCTTATCTCATTTTTTGCGGCAGATGAAAAAAAAAAAAAAAAAGAAGAAGATGGAATACGTGATTAAACGTCTTAATACTCCCGGATACGGGCTAGAGATGCCTCGGATTTCCCGCCATTTCTTTTGGCACGCGAAAAAAAATGACACACGAGAGCCCCTACACGAGAAAAAAAAAACAGAAAGAGAGAGAGAGAGAGAGGCACGTGCCACGCATTCATCTGCCAAATAGCATCCGCGCGGAAACAAGTTTTACATCTTGCGTCTACTCGTTTGAAATATTACACCAGTAAAAAAAAAATGCTGGTGAATGAAATAAGTGCAAGGAATACAGGGTGTCCATAAATGTACTGTGAAGCGAAAAAGTCAATCCAGTTGAACATCTTCAATTCATATACTCAGAGAGACCGTCAAAAAATTCGAATACGGGAATTTTTGAGTGAGAATCATACTGAATTGTTTGCACGAAAAAAAATTAAAAATTACAGAAAGGTGTAATAGGGAATATTCTGAACCTGCAACTGCTCTATGAATGAGTTGATAGGATGCTGAATTTGAAAGCAAGGGTGCATTTAAATTGTTAGTCTCTTAATTATTTTTTTAAAAGCATCATGTTACATTTTTTTTTTACTGGGAACAATTTTAAAAATTACTGAAAGGTAAAATAGGGAATATTCTGGACCTACAACTGCTCCATGGATGAGTTGATAGGATGCTGAATTTGACGGGGTACATTTTCACTGTTAGTCTCTCAATTCTTTTTTTTTTAAAGCATCATGTTACATTTTGTATTGATCTTTGCTTCCCTGGGTCCCCTGAACAGTAGCTCAAATGCCTCTCAAAATTTGAGATGTAGAGGCTTGAGAGGAATTATGTTATTATTTTAGGGAGGTCTATCAGATTTCTCACAAGAGAATTCGGACCGGGACTGGGCAAAAATTCAACATTGAGAGGTTTTTTTTTTTTTTACTCATTAGGGGGATTTGACTGAGCGAGGTCCAATAAACTGAACTTTTTATTGTCACTATACGCGTAATTGTTTTATGGCAATATGTTTATAAAGAATGTTTCGCCAGAAATAATATTTCAGGGTTTCTTGTGACGAAATTCTGTTTTTAAAATCGATTTACTGTAGTAGCATTGCTTATTTTGAATATATTTCCTGCTGCGTCAAGAAAAATCTTTCCAAGCCTCGAAATTCCACTTTCAACCTCCTTTTTTATTTCTTTTTTGAACACGCCTTGTATCATGCACACCCTGTATAAACACATCCCGGAGAGTGGGTAAAATGAAAGATTAAAAAAAGAGTTTGAAGCATCCGGAAAGCGAAACAAGATTCTCCTTCACTCCGGAACTCCGCAGAAAAAATTCCGCTTCGTCTCCCGCATTCCTTCGCCATCCTGTGTGGCATTTGAAACTACGTACGCATTATTCCCTCGGCTTGCAATTTTCAGTGCAAAATTTTACCGGAGGATATTATCCCAGGGATAATTATAATGTTGATAGCAAATAAAATGAGACGTGTTTCCAACGTCAAAGAAATGTGACCCACTGTCGCGTGAAATTTCGCATGAATTTCGTCGCGGTTTAATTTGCAAAAAAGCAGTGTCCAAAATAAATTGGGAGCGGAAACTTTGATTTTTAAATGCGAATGAGAAGGACAGAGCAATTATTCAGAGCAGTGTCAAAGAATTATTGCTCGAATTTAGTAATTTGAAATTTCGCTTGAATTTCGTGACAGTTTAATTTGCAAAAAAAGCGGTGTCCAAAAGAAATTGGGAGCAGAACCTTTGATTTTTAAATGCGAATGAGAAGGACAGAGCAATTATTCAGAGCAGTGTCAAAGAATTATTGCTCTATGATTCATTGAGCAAATTTTTTTTCTCTAACATTTCTATACAGACCCCGAATAGAGAAACCTGGTTTATATGAGCATTTTGCAGTGGAAATTATCCCGAGTGATGTAGAAGTGATAGATCGCAATGGCGAGTAAGACCTTGAAGAATGGACTCGAGGAAGTTTTTCGTTTGTTGCTGTTGATATGGTGTCATCAGAGTAGTTTCAAGCAACCCGCTGTTGCTGCTTGCAGACGCCTCCTGGGAAAACCACATGTCCACTCCAAGTTGTATGATAGGGTCAAGTGTGATTGCTATCCTCAAGATGGTGAGCTTGTGTGCTATAAAAATCATGTTCATTTTTAGTTATAACAGTAATGTCGTCGTCGTTCTAAAGACGAAAAGTCGTAAGTGATCCAAGTTCGTAACAAGGATGTAGGTTTGGGGAAGGGGAGGGGTGGGTGTAAGTAGGAAACACATTCTTCACATCAGAATTCATAACAGAGAAGCAAGCTGTGCATGGATATTACAAGAAAAGAAAATGCATCCCAAAAAAGTGCAACCACACAACTGATGTAAATACTTACACTTTCTTTCCCTTCCCTGATAAAAAAAAAATATATATATATCAATAATAAGAATTTCAGCATATACTAAATCCAAATTAAAGCACAAGGCGTTCAGCCTGCTACCAGATAAGATTAAGTTGAGTAAACAATCTGGAGAGAATCTTTGATGAGAAATCATATAAGGTTAGCAGATTACCATGGTCATCTAAAAGTTTTGAAAGAGTCTTTTCATTGAATTTTAAGAGTCCCAAATCTTTTTGAAGCTCATGTCTGTTGCTGTGGAATGCTTGGTATAAGAAAAGAAGGTGCTCTGGTGATGCATCAACCGATGTATTTATACTGCAGAAATTACCCCACTGAAAATTTGTTGAATTTTATTTCAGCACAATATAATATATTTTATTTTTATACTTGCAGTCAAACTCCAAGGGGGGACCCACAACAATTTCAATTTTGAGCATTTTTGAGTTGAGGAAACCAGCATTTTTCGTGGAAAAAGTTTTTAAAAAATTACAGGAAGTTAAAATTATAGAGCTTCTGTGCCCTAGCTCACCTGGCAGCTTTGTGAATGAGCTGACGGGATGAATTTGCACAAATGGATGGTAAGGGTTCATATGCCCGATATTAATCACTCACTTTCTTTTGGAAAGCTCAAAGTTGAATTTTTTATTCAATTTTTTGTTTGCTGTGCAGCTCTGTACACCCAGAATGATAGCCCAAATGCTTCACACACAAAAATCTGGTGACTGCATGATATGAAGATGTGTGTGAACCGCAAAAAGTTTTTTATCCGAGTTCTGGAGGTATTTATGGATTGGCTGTATTTCCTGGTCCTTATTTTACTGTTTTCTTCAAGAATTGTGATTAATCATTTGAAACATTCTAAGCAGTTGCTCAACTGCAATTGTCAGCGTAAATTCACTTTTAAAAATGTGCTGACACCCACATGTCCAGGTCCTATTATTGCGACTCTATCGCTTTTTATTTTTAATTACAATAACTTTTAATGAAGTTCGTTATCCGAAGCCGGGCCGTGCGAAATATCTGGTCGCCGTTCATTTATACTGTATTTTCTATGCGTCCGTTATCCGGGGTACAGTAATGTATATCACTTTCCTGGAATATTCGGTCTTTCAAGCAGGCATTATATGCGATGCGTCTGTTATCCTGGGTAGAACTCGCTGACCTTTTTTTTCGGCACGCTGTTTCTTTCCAGAATGCGACAAGACCGTGGTGGTGTCAAGGGCGTCTGGAGAGTTCGGGTTCCGGATTCACGGGTCCAGACCGGTTGTGGTGTCAGCCATAGAACCCGGAACCCCCGCCGAAACGTCGGGTCTGGAAATAGGGGACATCGTGATTGCCATCAATGGCGTCAACGTGCTCGACTCTTCCCATGCCGAAGTCGTCAGAATTGCTCATTCAGGTATTCATCAGTATACTGTATTTTCAAATTCTTCGATGAAATTGTATCATTTCTCTTTTTCAATTTGAGGTTTTTGCAAAGAAGCTTTCAAGTTATAAGCATCTGACAGGGAGACAATAATGAATGTGATGTGATGAAGCAAGAAAATTGTTTTTAAGCTTATTGTGGATAATCGATGCTGTGAACACATTTAGCGAAATTGAAATAGATAGAAAAATATTTATTTTAAAATTGAATCCTGTACAGCATTGAAGAAATCAAAGTGGTTGATTTGAGACCGAAGGACATGCAGCAGAGTTTAATTCTAATTCTTTCTGTGTATAAACTCTCACATTTTAGAATTTATTCCCTAAAATAAATTAATTCGAATTCTGAGAAAACTTGATTGTGCGTCTTTTTTTTTAATGTTCGTCTCCAAAAGTAAAAGTGCGCATGCAGTACAGTACTTGAATTAAAAAGAATTTACAATTGATGTGTTATATCCTCGAGGGGAATTATTTCAGAAAACTTGGCAGCAAATAACGTCGATTAATGTGATTTATGTACAGTTGTGCTGGCAAAATTGTAACTCTTGGAAATTAATTCAAAATCTCACAATTTCTCCGCTAATTAACCCAAAGGGGAGGGAAACCGGTATAATTTAATAGTATTACTGTAATTTTTTATGAAATTTGATAAATGGTCGTGTGGATATTTTGACATATTGCGGTTGGAGAAGGTAGTGTATCCTGAATAATTTGCTGGTCCCGTCTGCTGCTGACCATTTTCTCGAAATTTCCAGTGATTCTGTTCTTTTGTTGTATTTTTTTGAACTTTTATATGAGAAAAGTGGGTTCCGTGTAAGTTGCATTCCTGTTTTTTTTTCTTTTTCTTTTCAAGGTTCAGACGTGTTGAAGCTGGACCTGGCCCGCACGAGTCATGTGCTGACACCCGTGTCGGAGAATGACTCGCAGGACGATGAATACGGCCTTTTAGATATGGTCCACTCCGGGTTTCTTTATCGTAGGTCAGATGACGCTCCAACGAACGAACGACTCTGGCACAAGCGCTGGTTCTGTCTCAAGGCCAACCGCTGTCTTTATTTCTATAAAAGCGAAAAGGTTCGTGATCAGTATTCTTGGGTTAATTTCGCTAAATTTTTGTGCTTTAGTGTTCATTTTGGGGAAATGCATTCGAGATACAGTATTTAAAAAAGGTAGAGAAATAATTTGTAATTTTCCTCTAATATATAATCACGAAGAATTTTCAAGAAGTTTCTTGTAACAGTAGGAATTCCTCGTCTGCTTTGTGGATTAAATCTAGAAAAATGCCTGTGCTTATGCTTTCATGGAGAACATTGTTTTTCTCCAAAAACTAATTTTTAGATTTTAGAAATTTGTGTTGAATCTTTACTGTAATCTCATTTTATAAAATTCCTCTAAATTTAAAATTTCCTAACTTTTTTCAGACCATAATTTCCCTTTAATTCTTGGATTAAACACTGAAAAACTGTTGCGCTGAAGTTTTGTGGGAATTATTATTACAGTGTTTTTGAATGTAATGATATTTCAGAGATACTTCCCCATTTTTATATTGTAATCTCATCATGACAATTTTTTATTGAAAATATTTTATAAATAAATATATATATATATATATTTGAATTTTCCTGTAACTCATGTCTGAGGGATGTAATTTGTTTCATGGTTTTTTTTTATCTTGATGACAGGACAATCAGCCGATTGGGGCAGTGTGTTTGACGGGGTACTCAATCGACATGACGACAGGACCAGAGGAGGGAGATGACGAAGATGAGGATGACAAGCAGCTCAAGTTCACCCTCAGCAGGGAAGGTTCACCTTCACACACTTTTGCAGCACTGTCTGAGCAGGATCTCAGGGTCTGGGTGGAATGTCTCCAGGCTGCTGCTGACCCGAACTCTAATGTTAGTAGTTCTGTACAGTATATACTTTTCAGAGCCATATATGCTCGAAATAAAATATGCAGTCATATTCCTTTTTCTCAGCAGTCACCAC